TATAGCTGCTGCAGTGATTCAGTATAAGCGGAACCCATGCCTAGGAACCAGAGGAATGCATATGAACCCTGAAGGGGAAGGAGTAGTGGTAGAAGCTACGACTCTTCCCATCAAAGGTTCATCATAAAAGTCGCATAAACAGAAATGTCTTTTCTCAAATATAAGACATCCTAGGATAAACCTACTGTGGTCATCAACTGGAGCTCTCTGACACATCATGAGGACTTTCTGATCTACACTTAAATTACTTTCTTCAAGGTAAAGCTTCAACCCTTGATGTAAACATGGAGTCTTTTGACTTTGGAAAAGGGCCATGTTTATTTTGTTCTGTTCTCAGTTGAGACAGATTTCCCCAGATTTTTTTTGTGGTTTTTTTTTTTTTGTTCTGCTTTCAACAGTCCTGCAGTGATTGATAGGATGCTTATTACTTTTTACTGTATATTAAGCTCTTTCACAACGTGGTTGAATATGCTAAACTCTGAAGGGGAATGCTAGGTGGTACCATTTCATAACCACACTTATATGTGATGTTTGAACTGACTATGCAGGTGCTGAAATTTTCATTTAATCAGTTTTTTACAAGGGGCATTAGTATCCTTTTAATTAGTGTATGTTTCTGGAATTCACTTAATGTTTGAAGCTATTTCTCATTCTGACTAGCTGTTTGCAATTCAAGAAAGTAGGGGAGAGTTGATTAGCACTACTAAGCTATTGCATGAGATAAGGAAGTACGAGTAGCTTGCAATAAAAGAGTAAAACCAACTTCACTGAAAGTGAGATGATGTGCATAAACTGAAAGATGGGTCTTTTTCATTAAATAAAATTTGTTTCCTTAGATTTGAACTTGTATGGACATAGGAAGCTTTAAAAAAAAAAAATAAAAAAAGGCACACAACATCAGTGTGTCAGAATCATCTGTTTGGAAATGAGCTGTTTTCACTTCCCATTTAGGATTTCAGATGAGCATTCTATTTTTGATTTTAAAAATTGCAGCTGTAAGTTTAGCAATTCACTTTCTATTCCTGAAGCTCAAGGAAGCATATTTCAGATGCAAAAAAATAGTTCCTGTTGAAAGTCAATGATTTACAACATTTTATACGTTACTGCCACTTTGTATTATTAATCTTTGTAATATGAGTTATCATTAAGTACTTTTGTGACCAAGGGAACAGTTATTCTATTACAGAACATAGAACAACTTGTTGAGGTTAATAGCTCTTTGCAATTTTTACTTTTTTTTTTAAAGAAAGACCTTTAATTTTCCTTTGTCAAGTATACTGAGTATAGACATGTAAACCAGTTTTCTTTTGCATTGCCTATGTTTGTATGTATGTACGTATCAATAATTTTTTCTTCAAAAGTCAAAGTTACTAGAGGATTTATTTCCTTCAAGTGGTCTGCTTAAAAAAAATGAATAAATTGTTTTATGAACAATTTCATTTTCTGAAGGTGATTAATTTCATCTATGAGGCTACAAAAAATATACATTCAGTTCCTTTTAAACATATGAAGAAAAAATTATTTAATTTGAAGGATTGACCAGTGTGTAAAGTTCAGCAGCTGAGTGTGTGTTTTCAGTAAGAGATCTTTAGTTTGGTATCACATTGCTATCATACGTTAAAAATAGTATTTTTATTTAAAAAGTTTTGCTTACCAGAATTTTGATTAAGCATTTTGAAAACTTTAGTAGATGTAGTTAATATTGGTTGCAAATCAAGCCAAATCAGTTTCCTTCCCATGTCACAAGCTATCAGCCTATTTTGAGAATAATTAGCTTCTGACACAACCTCATTAGACACACCTCCCTTGATGAGCTGCCTGTTGGGGGTTTTTTTGGTGGGTTTTTTTTTTGTCTGTTTTGGTTTGAGTTGTTTGTTTGTTTGTTTGTTTTTTGTTGTTGCAAGACTGGATAGTTGGGGAATTAGTTCTGTGATACACAAAGCATTTGTGTAAAGTTCATATTATCCCTGTTAAAGTAGGGCTAGAAAGAAACGTGAAACTATTTGCTCTTTAATACAGCAGTAGATATAATGTTGATTTAAATTTTTTACTAAAGAAATTGGTACAAAAATTTGATTGCTTTAACTGCAAAATTGCATAGATATGTTCAGGGACTTATTCCTGTCACTATATAGATGATACAGTATTTTTGAAATGGGTAAATTGTGGAACATAGACCTTGAGTTAGATATCAAGGCTAACTGCCATGTCCTCACAAATGTAACACTTCATAATTACTATGTAGATGTCTGGAATTCTTGTTAATTCTTAAGGTTGGGGGGCATGTGTGTGTGTGTTTGTTTAATTTGACAATTCTATACCCATCTATCTGCCCATGTCTGCTTTTGGTTTATTGAAGCTTGTATTCTTATATTTACTTCTCGCTGCCATTGCATCCAGTCAAACTGAAGTGCAGCCACTAAAAATTAGTGGTGATCACTTTCATTTATTAATTTGTGCATTGCTTGAAGTAATTGTGGTCTCCAAGGCCTAGTACATTATAAGTAGCTAAAAATTACCCTATTCCTGATATGTTTTCAGTAACCACTCTTTGAGTAAATAACTATGATAGTAAGAAAAAAGCAGGTCTTTTAATAAAGGAGATCCAGATGGAGAGAATACTGAAAATCCTTGGTGATGTGGGAATATTTCCATGTGTTATGCATAGCTTCATTGTAAATTAATGCCATATAAATTGTTGGTGTGTTCTTGAATTATGTAGGCACTGGCTAAGCCTAATTTGTACGACTTTTTGCACTATTAGTGTGTCATGGCATACATTTATGGTAACTGATAAAAGAACATAAAGGTCATAGGTATGTGGTGATGGATCTACAATGTGTAATATGAATAGTTGCCATTGATCCTATTGTCAAATATAGCAAGATGTATATCAATAGTCGTTAAATAATTGTAAGAACTTCGGTGGTACTAGTGCATTTTGATATGTTTGTCTGTAATATGCATTTGTTATGACTTTTAATAACATAAAAATATTGACTTGAAAGTAGAAATAAAGGATTGTGAATGATAATATGTAAAGATGAAATAGTTGTGACTTAAGGATGACTATAATATTTCACAAGTACAATATGGTCTGCAATAAAACATTTTTGTGAGGTTGTATTTTTTTAAAAATCAACTGGCACCTCAACTACAACTTTGTTGCGACGAACTCTGTGTGTGGAGACACAAGGCTTGACTCCATGTTTCTCAGAAGGCTGATTTATTATGTTAAATATTATATTAAAATACTACATTAAAACTATACTAAAGAACAGAGAGAACAGAGAGATCAGAAGGCTACAAAGAACAAGAATAGAATAGAATGCATAACAAAATCTTGTGACTGCTCACAGCCTTGGCACAGGTGGCTGTGATTGGTCATCTATTGAAAACAATCCACATGGACCAATGGAAGATGCACCTGTTGCATTCCACAGCAGCAGATAGTTATCGTTTACATTTCTCTCCTGATGCTCCTCAGCTTCTCAGGAGGGGAAAAATCCCAGCAAAGGATTTTTCATAATATCATGGCTACAACAACTTAAAATATGTATATAAATATTTTGAAATTTAAATGTTTAATTTGCCCAGCTAACACAGCATTCTGACATGTATTGGTAAAAACACTTGTAGTTCTGAATCTTTTTCATCCCAGGCCATGTCTAGAGTGGCATTGGAATTGGCAGCCTCCAAAAGACCTTTCTAGTGTTTCAGAGCTCTGCTGTGAGTGAGGTAGCATGGACTTGAATATACCCTAAACTGGCTACAGTAACTGGTGGCTTAGCCACACCCAGATGGATATGGTTTTGGCTTTATCAGTAAGTGTTTCAGAAGTGTAGATGGCCTGAGGAGCCAGTCAGTATTTGCTTCTGGGTTGACAGCTATAGAAAATTTTTTACTAGTCTTTTTCCAGCACAGCAAGATGACTTTTATAATGTGTCTGTATATTGGCAAGCTAGTTATGTGTATTTGTCTGCTTTTGCTCTCTTTTCATCTTAGGAATTTAAAGATCTCATGCTTGTCAGTCTGGAGGTATGAACAGTTTTGCATAATTTAAAAAAAAAAGGAATTTTAGTTAATAAACTGCAGTTGACATACCAAACTTTTAATACACCTAAATTTGGAAAAAAATATATATTCCTGTGATCGGAGAATTTGTTGGTCTCTGTAGAAACTGTAGTGTGACCAGACCCATGTGTTGATCAAGCTCCTGTCACTGATTTAATTCTCCATTAGTGACAAAGATTGCCTAGGGTATTTGAGACTGAAAATCACTTCCTATTAAGACCTGATTTTAGTTTCATGAGTATTGATCTAACAGATAATTTTGGGTGCTGCTTTGTGTGGAGTGTCTTCCTCAGCTTTTCAGTTTATTTTGATGCCCTGTTTAGCTTTTAAGACAAATCACAGGCACACTTTAGGGACAAAATTGAGTTTTACTGGCTAAATACTCTAATGTAAAAGGTAAACTGCACATTCTACAGATAACAGCCTGGAGGAGGAGGGGAGTACATTAGGAAAATGTACTAAGGTAAGTCTAAGCTAAGTTTTTGAAATTAGGAGACTGTATACCTACAAAATGCACTTTTCCTAAACATCAGCTGAAGATTTCAGCCCTATTGATTTCTTTCCCTACCTACTTCAGTTCTGTTTATACATCTAAAAATCCAGAGAAAAGGCTACTGCAAATAAGTGTATTGTTGTCATAGAAAAAAGCCTGCCAAAAATGCAAATGAGAAAGTTTATGAAACTTTCTCTCTGAACTATTTAAAAGCCAAATCAGATGACTATGAATGTACAGAATCCTTGGAAAAGGGTTCTCTGATTTGAGGATGTGGAAACTTGCTGATGATACAACAGATATTGATGATCTGGTAGCCAGTTAACCAGAATTTGCAAGGCTAGTGGTGTAAGACTGGCGCATCGAACAGAGACTTCTTCTCGTAGAAAACATCTGCACTATGCCACCCCAAGAATTTCATTGTCTTACCCCAATGCGGTGAGTTTGAAATTTTAGTTCCTTCCTCCTTTTACTCTCTGGTGTTGGGAAGAGACTGTGTTAAGATGGAAACAACGCTCACTCATGCAGAACAAGAAGTTCACCTCCACATTAAAAAGTCTTTTCTTCAAGAAGATTTTGGTTTTTCAGAGGGGGAGTTAAAGTGTTTTGTACACTGGTTATTTAAGCATTTTCCTTATATTTTGCGGAACGTAGTCCTAACCAATGACTTTGTGGAAGTAGTTTGGGAAAAATGAAGACTTGAGGAAGAACTCCATAAAGAATTCTATCCTTTTTTTAATATGATGATGATATGCGTTCAGAATCTTGAGGAACAGTTAAAAAATAGTGAACCCCAGCTGAAAATTTTGCCTTCTCCAAGTTCTCCCGTCTGTACTCCTGCTGCCCAGGTTTGCTGTCACTGCATGGCCACGGCCGCGTGGTCGCATACACGTGCTCAAGATGGCGGAGACCGCATGGTAGGAACCACGGAGTCTCCCCTTCCGCCCTTTGGTCCCCACGCCTCCTCCCACAGCTTCCACAGTCCCGGGAGTCAGGGAGGTTTGCTTATATAAAGCTGCACCAGTATTGGCAATATAAAGCTGCACCAGTTTCTTACAACGAAGGGGGAAGAAACTCCACGTGTGTTTGCAGTGCTGGAAAGGACAGTAAACAAAAGAACGGACGTGTTTACCTCGGTTGCTATAGCACCACGAAACACGGTGCGGGTGGTGAGAGCCGTCCCCGCTCGCATCGAACAGCTGCCCCCACGGAAAACCCGCGGCCGAGCCCAGGTCGCGGCAGCCGGCAGTACCGGGGCTGAGGGCAGGCGGGCGAGACCGGCAGGAGGGCAGCCCTGCCGGGAGATGGCTCAGAACCGCAGTCCTGGCAGCGAAACCGCCACCCCCCGCCCACCCGCGGGGCCCGCGCCACCGCCGCTGCTCTGGAAGCCCCGCGCCGGCAGCGCCCGCGGGCATCCGCCGAGAGAGACCCCCGAGAAAAAGCCAGGTCTCAGCGCGGCCGCCAGCACCGGGAGCAGGACGAACCCCGCACAGCAGCGCACCAACCTCAACACCAACAACACGTCCAGCACCAGCAACACAAACCCACTGGCAAAGGTAAAAAAGTCCTTGCCATGAACGTTTTGGGGACAGTGAAATAGTTCAATGTAAAAACCAGATATGGCTTCATAACCCGGAATGATAACAAAGAAGATGTGTTTGTTCATCAGACTGCTATAAAAAAGAATAATCCCAAGAAATACCTCCACAGTCTAGGAGATGGAGAAATTGTGTAGTTTAATATAATACAAGGAAGAAAATGCCCCCAAGCAGCCAATGTGACAGGACCTGGTGGAGTTCCAGGGCAAGGTAGTAAATATGCACCAAACTGCAAACCTGTGAAATATTACCCACGTCATAGAAGTCCTCCACACACCTACCAAAGAAATAGAACCCAAAACCAACAACCATCAAGCCCCAGCAATAGCCTAAAAGCAAGAAGAGTACAGAACACCAATGAGCTGTCCTGCATTCAAAAGCCCATGTCGATAATGAAAGAACCTTCCCGTCCGATAAGTCCCACTTCTTCTAATACCCTTCCCAAATTCCTGTGGCCTCCCTGCCCCCCTCCCACTTTCCCCTTTGCCTTTCCATTGTCCTATTACCCCTTTTTTATGTTCCCACAAATTCCTCCCACCTTTTCCCCCTTTCCATGGCCTCCCTCCACTAATCCCTTCCCCCAAAGTTCCTTCGTGATACCAGAAGGAGGGTGATTGGGAGGGAAAGAAAGGAAAGTTTCCTTAAAGTAACCATCTTTTTCTTAAAGTAAATGATTTCTATTTGGAGTTTCCAGCAGACACACCACCACCTACACTATCTCGTACAGAGCCAATTACAGCCAACAACACTGCCTCAGGTAGAAGAGAACCAGTCCCTGCTGAAGGAACCTTCTCCTGACTCAGTTTCCTGATAAACCGTGCTAAGAAAACCCTGCATCCCTCCTGCCAGCTCTAAGACACTCCAGGAAATCTGTTGGGACATTGAGAACTCAGAATTGTTTGCATTTTGAAAAATTGTCTTATCGGTGCTTTTGATTGTTTTTGTAATTTTGTGTTGATTCAGTTGATGCTTCAGAGAAGCTTTCTTAATAATATAAAAAACGGGGAATTGTGGAGACTCTGGGGGGGCATCCCTGGTCTAAGGAGACACAAGAAGCTTCCCTCAAAAAGCTATTAGACCCCATTGGCTCCTTCCCCTGTTCCTACGTCTGTTCCTATGTTCCTGAGCCACTCCCTCCCTATTCCCTGATTGGCCCTCACCTTTGTACTGCCCTGAGACCAGGGTCAGGCCTCTGTAGAGAGAAAGCTTAGTCTCTCGGTGTGTCTGGGACCTGATAATCTCACCACGCAGCTGAATAAAACATCTGTGGATATTATGTAAAGGTCCTTTTTGCTTCCTTACCCTGGACTATGCTAGCAGCAATTCAGACTGCTACATAAGACATTTTAATTGGGGAGTGGGAGGGTGGGATTCTTACATGGGTGTGCTGTTAATTATTTTCATGTTAATGTAGTGGGAGGTTGAAAAGTTGGTATGCCTGAATCTGTAGTATATATTAAAAAGAAGCTAGGTTTAAATTGTGTAGTTATAAAAGCAATAAAACCCCCAAGAAGCTTTATTATGTTGGGGAGGACAGAGAAAGTTCTCGTTTGTCCATCTTCCTGTCTCCCCCAGTGAACTACTCATGTACGGTCTTAAGCAAAACTTTCTCCTACTTGAAGCATAGTAGTTTGGTATTTAATTGTGGTGTCCAATGATTTCTTTTTAGTTTGCTACAAATGTTTTGCAGTCAGTTGCCATTACTGCTTGCTGGAAATTTCACCACATAGTATGAGTGCCACCTGAATGCCTTTAGCATGTTCTCTTCATAAGAAATAATCTTATTGTAAATGATAAGACTTATAAGACAAATGGCTGCATGTTGTGTGTTGAAGGCACTGTTTGGGTTTGGGGGCTTGGGGTTTTTTTTTTAACTTTTGGGAATCCTGAGCAGAGGAGGGGTTTATGTGGGACTTCAGAATAAAGACCTAATAAAGTACTAGAAATAGTTTGTCTGTGTATATACATAGGCTTGACGAAATAAGTCGGTCCCTCAGAATATTCTGGCAGTCTCTGAGGCCCCAGCTGATATGAAGGGCCTGTTGTGATGAGTTGTATTTGCCTTTATGTACAATTATTACCTTGGAACACTTTAATTAAAGGCTTTGGATGAAAGAGAGAGGAAGAGGTACAGTATAGCAGTGAGCAAGGCCAGTGTTGAGTTAGCACAGCTTTAATTTTTATACAGATATTATTTTTCTTTTTTTATTATGGATAGAGATAGGGATGAAGGAAATTTGACAAGGGAAGAAGGGAAAATATAACCACGTAAGGTGGCAAGCTTAGGTTTCTGTTTTATACTTGAAAGCAGATATAAAATTTCTCATGTGGTAGAGAATTCTGGTTTAAGTTTTGAATAATGAGACATGTCCTTAAAATCTGTTTAATTCTTTTGGGTAATAATGTCAAGCATTTTGGTTTGTATAACTGTGGTAGCCATGATGTTTTAATCAGATCTTGAACGTTTTTAACTTGTCATTTAAGCCTTTCATAGTTTGTAGATGTCAAAACTTTTCTTTTTCTTTTTTACCTATTAATGGAGTGATATCTGGACTATAATTTAATTATAATTTATGTAATTGTTTTTCCTCTTTTTCTAGGAAACACTGCATTACATGACTGTGCAGAATCTGGAAGTTTGGAGATCATGAAGATGCTTCTCAAGTATTGTGCTAAAATGGAAAAGGATGGTTATGGAATGACTCCCCTTCTGTCAGCCAGTGTGACAGGCCACACAAATATTGTGGACTTCCTGACCCAACATGAACAGACTAGTAAGATAGAATGTATAAATGCTCTGGAACTTCTAGGAGCAACATTTGTGGACAAAAAGAGAGATCTGCTTGGTGCTTTGAAATACTGGAAGCGAGCTATGGAAATGAGATACAATGATAGGATTAGTATCCTGAACAGACCTGTACCACAAACACTAATTATGGCCTATGATTATGCTAAAGAAGTAAACAGCTTAGAAGAGCTAGAAAATCTTATTGCGGATCCTGATGAGATGAGAATGCAAGCACTATTAATTAGAGAACGTATTCTTGGTCCTTCTCACCCAGATACATCCTACTATATTAGGTACAGAGGTGCTGTCTATGCAGACTCTGGAAACTTTAAACGATGCATCAACTTATGGAAATATGCTTTGGACATGCAGCAGAGCAATCTAGATCCACTGAGCCCTATGACAGCCAGCAGTTTACTATCATTTGCTGAACTCTTCTCCTTCATGCTGCAGGACAAGGCAAAAGGCCTGCTAGGCACTACTGTCACATTTGATGATCTAATGGGTATACTATGCAAAAGTGTTCTCGAAATAGAGCGGGCCATGAAACAAATCCAGTGTCCTCCTGATCCAATACAGCTAAACAAAGCACTTTCTATCATTTTGCATTTAATTTGCTTGTTGGAAAAAGTACCTTGTACCTCAGAACAGGAGCATTTTAAGAAACAGACTATATATAAGTTTCTTAAGCTTCAGCCTAGAGGGAAGAATAACTTCAGTCCACTTCACCTTGCTGTTGACAAGAATACTACATATGTGGGTCGCTACCCAATTTGTAAATTCCCCTCTCTACAAGTTACTGCTATCCTGGTGGAATGTGGTGCTAATATAAATGTCAGAGACTCTGATAACAACAGTCCTTTACATATTGCTGCACTGAACAACCATCCGGGCATCATGAATTTTCTTATCAAGTCAGGTTCACACTTTGATGCCACAAACTTGCATAAACAAACTGCTAGCGATCTACTGGATGAGAAAAAAATAGCAAAAAACTTAATCCATCCTATAAATCATACTACATTGCAATGTCTTGCTGCTCGTGTTATAGTGAATCATAACATATGCTATGCAGGGCATATCCCTGAAAAGCTGGAGAAATTTGTTTTGTTTCATAGATAATAGTGTGCAGGCACAGAGAGCTGTTGTTGAAGCATGACTTGGTGACAATGTTTTTCTTGTGCACTGTTGCAATATATCAGTATTCCTTTAGTTTGCTCCATCTTGCTCTCATTTTCTAAAGCGATGTTAGAATTGCATCTGCAGAGTTGGTTAACCAATATTTGAATATGCCATACATTATATTTTGTGGATTATTTAGAAATATAGTGCTATATTTAGACTCATATAATTGTTTGCCATAGGTTTGTCTATTCTGGTCCTTTTTTCCTGTCAGGTGTTTAGGACTGAGTTGAATATTTTCCACTGATTTCTTTTTACTACAACATTTGTGTGGATTTTTTACAGTTGGAGGGTCATCTTTTTTTGGTTTTGCTTGAGCATTTCTACTTTTACTCTGTTCTTTTTCTATGGACTTAACATTTGCAACTACCATAAGTGCTTTTTATCTTCTCTATGCACTGACTTGAATGTAACTGTTTGTGATGAACAATTCTATGCAGCAGTTGGACAATTTCAACTTAAATGCCCATTTTGATTTGCAGTTTTGTTTGGAGCTCTTTTTGAGCATGCTGCCTTCATAGCATTTTGGACCTACATATTACCTTTCTGAACTGGGGTTTAACTTTTTTATTCTAGCTGTAACTGATGTTGCTTTCCTGCTGATCCTCTGGAAGTCAGTGCTAAGTTTGGGAGAAAAAAATAACTCTTGTTTTCATGTTAATCCACTTGAACTTTTAATCTGATAATTGTTTTCTCACATCATGCAGTTAGGGAAAGAGTACTCATCATGTACAACTGACAGCTTCCCTTTTGCACTAATGTCTTGCTTGTGTTGGTTATGTGACTAGATATAAAGCTTGTTCAAAGTTGAACCAGAAACTTAATTATACATTTAATCTATTTCTCATTAGAGTGTATGCCATAGTTTAAATTTACAAATCAACTTCTTTAGCTACAAAAGAAACAAAAGCACATTGGTGGTGTGATGCTTATCAGTCCAGAAATATAGGCATCACCAGTATCATTATAACATAGTAAATGGCTGTATGGCAGAGTAATAGAAATTCTATAGCAATGTCTCCTTAATTTTAAATATCTTTATAAATGCATGATTTTTCTATCTCTTATTATGTCAGCTGTACTTAAGAAAAAGCAGTTTGTTGTGTGAATATATAATTCCTAATTAAACTTACCTATTTTTATAATATTTGCATAATAGCTTAACTTTTACAACAGAAAGGGCTCTTTTGACTCGATAAGAATTATTAAAAAATTCATAAAGGAGAGTGAGATTCAGGTATTTAATATAATTCAGCACTTTACTGTTGATCAGTAGTAGAATTTATTATGGCACATTAGCCCTGCAAATGTCTAAGTGAAATTAATTTGTGTTGAGTAGAATATAGTTTACTTGCAAATTTAGTATTCCAGCATATTGAATATTGTTGACTTGGTGTTTCATTTCAGTGATGGGCAGTAAATAGGTTTCTTGCTCCAGAAATTCAACAAATTAATTTAGGTTTTTATTGGTGATAGAGGTATTTAAAAGCCAAATTAAGTAGATAAAAAGAAAAATTATTTAGGAGAGTTTTTAAAAATTTAATGTTGGAGTATTTTTCTTTTGTGATTTAAGTTGCCAAAGAATGTCTTGAGAGTATAAAAGAGTATACGTAAAAAGTTCATCCTTGCTTCTTGGCTGTTTTGTGTTTTCTCTTAGTATTCAGTGTGGAGCCAACAAGTTTAGCCATTCTTGGGGAGAATAGTGTAATACTTTTAAATAAAGATATGTTGAAAGTAATGCTGTTTGTATATTGCCACTTTTAAACTCTTATTTTGAAATCACTTTCTTGTGTTTGTTCCATGGTATACCTATACTGTATGAAATTCTGTGTATAAGAAAATCCTATTTGTTTCTCTTGCAAATCTGCAGCAGTAAACTTGTATTAAATTGGCTGATTTTTTTTTCTGATTTGTAATGATTAAACTACATTGCACCCAAGTTGTCAACCCATAAAGATATTGAGAATGTTGAGGAAAAAAATGTATGCTTTGTAGGAGTGAAATATAGATATAAAAATTTATTAAATAATTTGCAGGTATATATTTTTAAAGACAAGGATAGTGATAGCCCATTGCTTGTTGAAACATCTGAAATTAGTTGGTTTTTTAAAAAATAAATACTCAAAGCATTCTTCCTGGGCTTCCACTGAAATACTTCAGCCAGGAAGATGAAAATTATTGTGATTAAAAAGAAAAAATGAAAAAGCTGTTATTGTCAAATTCTAAAATCATATTCCTATTTTTATATTGCTTATGTCAGTAACAAGATTCCAGCTGTTTGTAGTATCTCTGAGGTTCTGATTGTTAAGCACATGGTAGAAAGCACATTTTAAAATGCAAGGCAAGAGTGTGGTTATTTTTCTCATGCATACTCTGCAACAGTCCTTGGATAGGAGGTATTTTTATATATTACCTAAATACCAAAAAATCTCTTTTAACAATTCTTTTGAAACTGGTTGAAATTAAACTCTTTTCACTTTTATAAAACAGTATCTTATAGAAGGAATGGAATGCTATAGCAAAATTCTTACTGAGGTATTAAAAAAGAATAAAAACCTTAATAGAAAAGACATGCCTCTTCTCAGTTTTACATCAACTGCAAGTTAGTAGTGGCAGGATATGACTACTCTGGAAATAGCTTCTTTGTGCTTTGAATTATAGAGTAGAATGCCTTTTATACTCTCAAATATTGACAAATGTGAGTACAATGACTTAACACTAATTTCTGTGTTCTGTGACTACAATTAAGTGGTATTTAATGTTTCAAAGTAACTGAGGAATGTGATGGAAATGGGCTAGACTTAAATATAGTTTATTTTACATTGTTTAAATATTTTTGCTATGAGGATGAAAGTAACTGTTGAACCCTCAGTAAGCAGAATGAAAAGTTATTGTTCATTTGGTTTTAACTAACTCTTTGTGTTCCATTGTATCACAGACTTCCTGTGCAGAGAAATTCCATGTGATTGAAAAAAAAAAAAAAGGAATAACAAATATATTTCTATACTCTTACTCTTTTTTGGCTCTAAATGCAGATTGCATTAAAAATATGCTCTGGATAACACCTGTCTGAGTCCATATATCTGTTTTCTTCAGGGTTACTGTAATACTGGTTGCTGAACCTCTTTTTCAGTTGACTATGAATAGTTAAATGTGAATGTTGCAGATTTAGGCTTTGATCTTCTTGTTCATTATTATATCTTAAGCATACTATTGTGTTTCATTCTCTTACTATGCTCCAACCAAACCTTTGAATTCTGGTGATGGGCAGTAGTAAGGAAAAGGCTTAAACTAGAGAATACAAGAGACACTTTCACAGTTTTTCTAGAAAATGTATTTGGGCATGCTATTAGCTCTGTCAAAACATAGTTGTGTTTGTTTATAGCATAAATAAAACTAGCAAGATCTTGTAATAAATAAGCAATAGACACTTTTCCAAGAAAGTTGCACAATTTTATTTAATAGCTTTTCAAGTCTCTTACCTATTGCTTCCATTATGTAAAAAGAGAAAAAAATACTTCCAGGATGAGAGAATTATGTTAAGATTCTTATTAAAGAGGTCTTAAAAAGTCTTCTGTAGAACATTAGCATCAGATTTTTGAGATTGTTATAGTTATGCACAGTAGTCATACTTAAAAGGCAGTGTACACTTAATTTCAGAGTTTATTTAGGTTGATTCTTAACTGGTAACAAACAGCATCAAACTGAGGCACTGGATGAGGAAAACTGGTCCAGAGCTTTCACGGCAAAATAATTGCTACATAGATGACTTACAGAATCAAGTATAGATTCCCTTAATTAGGAATTAAAGAATTAAAATTACATCATTATTCATCTCTCTGTAGTTGCAGATGATGATAGATGTTTAGTCTATAAGTGTCTGATCATCTATCTAAACTATGCCTATGTAAAATCTGTTTTTTTCTGAATTTTCCAACTCTCTCCGATTCTCTTTGTGCAGAAGTGCTGCTCCAGCTGTAATGACTTATAGAATTGTGTAGGTTGGAAAAGATCATCCAGTCCAACTGTTAATCTAGCACTGTGAAGTCTATCACTAAACCATGTTCCTAAGTGCCACATCAACACATCTTTTGAATACCTCTAGGGATGGTCACTCAACCATGTCCCTGTGCAGCCTGTTAAATGCTTGACAGCTCTTTCAGTGAAAGCATTTTTCCTAATATCCAATCTAAACCTCCCCTGGCACAAGTTAAGACCATTTCCTCTTGTCCTGCTGTTTGTTACTAGGGAGAAGAGACCAACACCCATCTCACTACAACCTTGTTTAAAGTAGTTGTAGAGAGTGGTAAGGTCTCCCCTCAGCCCTTCCTTTTCTCCAGACTAAAAGCCTCCAGCTCTCTCAGCTGCTTCTCATAAGACTTGTGCCCAAAAGTGAACATGAGATTTGAGGTGTGGTGTCACCAGTGCCGAGTACAGGGAAAGAATCACTGCCCTGGTCCTGCTGGTCACACTATTTCTGACACAAGCCAGGATGCCATTGGCCTTCTTGGCCATCTGGGCACCCTGCTAGCTCATGTTCAGATGGCTGTCAACCAACACCTCCAGGTCCTTTTCCAATGGGCAGCTTTCCAGCCACTCTGCTCCCAGCCTGTAGCACTGCATGGGGTTGTTGTGATCCAAGTGCAGGACCTGGCACCTTGCCTTATTGAACCTTGTACCCTTGATGTCAGCCCATCGATCCAGCCTGTCCAGATCCCTCTGAAGAGCCTTCAAAAAAATTATATTTTTCTCTCTGCCAAGGAAGAAATTGACTTCATTTGCCTTCACCCCCACTGAACTCAGCTGTCCACTCTGCCTATCCAATCTGCCCTTGCATTGCACTTTGTATTGGTTTGAGATAATTTAAAGGAGAACACTGGAATGAGTTGCCTCCCTTTATAGGTTCAACCAATCCCTTTCCACCAATAAGGAATGAATAT